TTAATCAAAGAGGAACTGAATGTATTCAAATCACTTCTAATAATAAATACTTCCATACCTCATCCTAAGCCCTAACTAGCAAGCAACTTTAAAGGCACTACTCAAACTAATGATGATGCTTTACATCAAAAAGTCATCATTCATGCTTCTCCAATTGAAAGACACCCCATTGCTAGTGTGGTTAAAAAGAGAGATATTAGAACTAAAAATGTAGTCAAGTTTCCCTTAACATAAAAGGGCAAAAAAAACAGAAAAGTAAAGAATACCCTATGAAGAAATCTATAGGGAAAAAAAGAAAAAGGTGATCAAGGACGATCCTAGCAGAAAAACTAGTCATTTTAGGAGAACGAGTTGATGATGATGAGCATGTGATAAAAGTAAGATCTATTTATAATCATATTTTTTAATGTGAACAAGCCAAATTTATTAATGGTAAACTTACTTAAACTAAACTAACTTGCAGTCAAATGCCTACGATACTTGTTGAATTCTAGGCCCATAAACGTTTATTACCATATAAGTTGGAATTCAAAGATCGATGTTGTACACATTTGTAGATAAATAATGATATGTTGCTTCTCTAATATGTTCTTTCTTAAATTTACTTGAAGATGGCCGAGTTATTCTTGATGAATTACAGGAATAATACTATTGTGAGAGCTGGAAATATCCTGTTGTCCAAAAGTAATGTTTATGATGTTCTTAAAGATAATAATTTAGATAACATAAATGTTGATATGTTTGTCCATTTATTGGTTGAGAAAAATAGACTTACTCTTGATTTATGTGTGCCATTTTTATACATTTCCACACTGCATCAGGTTAGTAACAATTGCACATAATTGCATGCAATGATATAAATAAGTTTGTTAGTAAGAACTATCAATAAATTTATTGAATTTAAAGGGTTATTCTAAATATGATCACATGCAAAATGAAAGCAAGATATTTTTTAAGTGATGTGATAAAGATAGTAGGAAAGCAGTTGAGTTGGTCGTTATATCAATTGCAAATAATGAGCATTAGATCTTATTAGTGGCCAAATTAAAAAATCGAAAGTGATTCTTTTATGATTCATTGTCAAATCCAATACATCAAACAATTTTAATCAGAATAATGAGTACTCACTTGTTACTCTTCTTTATTTTGTCTTTGAAAACACACCAACGAACTATTCTATTTTATGCTTTCTTCTAATGTGATAGATAAAGCTTATAGACAAGGATGTCAGAAGTGCTTTTGACTCCAACATTATAAAGTGGCCAATTGAAGAAGTTAGTTGAATTCTTAAACAACTTAACAGTATTGATTGTGGCATGTATGTGTGTAAATACATTGAGGTCATTGTTTCTCGACAAGTGGTTGATTGGGGTGAACATCAGGATTGACAACTTAAAATGCCACTATTTATGGCTGAATTTGCTTACAAACATTTTGTTATTGCATCTCATCTGACATCCTAAAGAGCATTATGTTGTAAATCGTGTTACATTTTATTTTCATTTCATAGTTTGAATTATATGATTGAAATTACTTGAAAGAAAATTTGATAGCATTATGCAACCATGTTGTACTGTCAAATTTTTACTCGCTAGGACAATCTAGTGTGATTGCATGGTGAACAACATAATTATAGTCAACTTCAAAGCGAGCACAATCATATTGTACTAATTAAATATTTACATGCAAGACTAATCTACTATGAACGTGCATTTTACATTATGGTTATACACAGCTTAAGGACAAGTACAACCATATTATATTGATCAATATTTTACACACAAGACCAATCTAATGTGATAACATGGGGAACAACATGGTTATAGTCAACTTAAGGCAGGGTAGAACCATGTTGTATTGATCAAAATTTTACACACTTGGCCAATCTAATGTGATAGCATGTGAACAACATGATTATACTCAATTTAACATAGAGCACGACATATTGTACTGATAAAAAGTTTACACACGAGACCAATCTAATGTGATCGCATAGTTAAGATTATGATTATACACAACTTAAGGATGAGTATAACCATAGTGTACTAATCAATAATTTACACATAAGGCCAATCTAATGTGATAGCACGGTGAACAACATGATTATAGTCAACTAAAGACCGAGTACAATCATGTTGTACTGATCAAATATTTACACACAAAACCAATCTAATGTAATAACACAATTAAATTATGGTTATACACAACTTTAAGAAGATTACAACAATGTTGTACTGATTGATTTTCTTACGCACTTGGTCAATCTAATCTAGTTAACACGATGAACAACACAGTTATAATCAACTTATGGAAGAGTACAACCATGTTGTATTGATCAATATTTTACAAATTTAGCCAATCTAATATGATAGCATGGTGAACAATATGGCTATAATCAACTTAAGGCAGCGTACAACCATATTGTACTGATCAAAAATATAATGTGCATTGACAATATATAACATTTACTACCACAAAATTTAATGTCCATTTTCTATAAGAAAAAATATTTGGCTTGATTAATTGGAATAATTATTCATCATAAATGGTACCACTCAACTATACTTCATTTAAGAATTGTCTCTTCAACGATGTACATCATCAAACTAGTGTACCCAAGTGATGGCTTCTTCCTCTTGCTTGCACTTGAATTTAATTCTTCCATTAAACAATGAGGCATAGTGAAGAATGCAATCATATGGGATGGATCTGTATGCACTTCAAATGTTGGGAGATCATATTTTTCCCCTACTAAAAAAATACCGAATGGGAGGTGACAACATCATAACAATGGTGAATGAAATGTGACGTTACGATTCTATTTAACAAAAAAATACATGAAAAACTATTATGGTGAGAGATCAGTGTAGATGCCTCTGCATGCTCTTTGACTAATAAGGGTTCATCTTTTTCCCCTGTCAGAAGAATAGTGAATGAGAGCCGACACAATGATATTATTTAGCAAACAAAATTTTAATAAATAATATCAGAATTGCTATTAATATTAGATTGATTGGTCGAAGTGGGTGACTTTGTATGCTTTTTGACTATTGAGGGGTCTATTTTTTTTCATGTCGCATGAATAGTGAATGAGAGTTAAGATGAAGGAAATCTTTTAAATAAAAAGTATTATCATGACTAATCTAAGTTTCACTGCTAGGTTTTCTCCTTTTCTCCCAATCCTCTCAATCTTACATTAGGCACAAACTTTAGTCACAACTTGGGTGGATCTTTTACACCAAAGCTGCAATCGAAGTCATTCCCATCAATCTTTTTTTGTATTTTTGGGTTTCGTGCATTAAGGTGATTTCCCCATAAGTATTAGTTCAATATCTTCAAACAACTTCTTCAATAAATTTAACATGGATTGTTCCGCTTCTTCATTACCTTATGATCTACAACAAATTTGATATGAATATCTACTAATATAGTTTCAAAATATGAAGCTCCGGGAATAACCATTAATAATATGTATATCTTTTATTTTTTTGTAAGCACTATTAATGTATACATTTATCTTTATTTTAGAAGATCATCTCATTAGGAGATATTTATCTGAGATGCAAAGAACATGTTCTTAGCACAAAATCTTGATAGAGTGGGCACAAAGTAATCTCATTTTTCGTATTTCTTACAAGTACATTGTATATTAAAACTTTATTTGTCAAAATTAATAGTTCAATTCTTAGAATGTTTCATATTCTCCAAGTTTCTAACCAAATATTATGTAGGGTAATTATTTCAAATCTCTACAGCTAGACCACCAACCTCATGCAAATATTCTTCTTCAAAAAAAAAAAAAAAACAGCTTCCTAGAGTAAAATGCAGCAAATTACTTCCATCTTCAGGACGAGCTCCACTATTTTTCTTCTAAATTCAAAAATTACATTTTTACTTTTGTTGCGCAAACAAATTAATCAATGTGGGTTAGGTCGAGCTTCGGGCTTCACACATTTTTATGAAAGAAAATAATTTTTTAAATCGGAGTCAAGTGGCAAATTTTAGTTGGAGTCTGAATATAGAGTTATATGTGGACTTTGAACGTAATATTTCTTCCATAATAGGCACAAGAGTTCAGCCTAGGGGTGTAAACAAGCCGAACACGAGCGAGCTCAAGCTTAGCTCGTGTTGGCTTTTTTATACTTCGAGCTCAAAAAGTGTGTTCGTGTTCGACTTGTTTGCTTAGCGAGCCGAACACGAGCAGTTCACAAACAAAGAGTCGTGTTAATAACTCTAATCACGTAACCATAAGATGTTAAGAATTTGGACAATTTTTAAAAATTATTGGTTATATTAAAGCATTATTTGAATCTAATTTCATATTTTTAATTCTATTTTCTTAATTAACACTTTTAATTGACGATTCTATTTTTTTAATTAATAATTGTATTTGATTATAAATCTTTATAGTCTTGTAGTCAATTAAATTTTTTAAAAGTAGTAGTATTTCGAGCCAAAATGAGCCGAACACGAACGAATAAATCTTAGTTTGTGTTCGGCTCGTTAACTTAGCGATCGAGCCAAACACGAGCTTATTAATAAGTTGAACATGAGTTGTTCACCAACAACGAGCCTTTTTGAGAGCCCTAATACAGGAGAAAATATTGCATCGGGATTCCACACGTAGAATTATATGTGGAGTCCAATGAAATTATGTCACGTGGCGGTGACAGAAAAAAAGATAATATGTCCAGTAACACAAGTAAATATTCGTCCTGTGTTATTCATATGTTATTATGTGTTATTTAAGTGTTATTATGTGTTATTCAAGCGTTATTGATGTGTTATTGTGTTATTATAAAATCGATAATATTCCCGGAATACAATAACTCCTTAATAACATACAATAACACCTGAAGAACATGGAATAACACACAGAGAATATTTCCCTGTGTTACCGGACCAATTTTTTTCTTTCATTTTTTGATTTCATTAGACTCTACACATAACTTTAAGTGAGAGTCCCCATAAAATATTTTTTCTTAACACTGCCGGCCGCTTAAAAAAAAAAAACACAATTGAGGAGAGAGAATCACCCACACAGCCCTTATTAGTACTCAAGCCAAACAGTCTCGTCTCCGTGGAGAAGAAACTAGCGACCTCATCAAATCAAATGGAGAAATCCCCCAAGCCTATTCGCTGCAAAGGTATATAACAAATAAACTTCTCCTCCCTCTCCATCTCTGACTTCCATTACTCAATACCTGAGCTCCCTCAACTCCTTCAACAGCGGCCGTGTGCAGAGCCTCCGGCGAACCCCTACTTATCGAAGAGATTGAGGTCGCCCCTCCCGGAGCCTTCGAAGTCCGCATCAAGATCATCTGCACCTCCCTTTGCCACAGCGACATCACCTTCTGGCGCAGACCGGTAACTAATTAATTACTATCTCTCCATTCATAACTCAACATTGATTTTACTCAATCTCTCTGACCTCCTTCCTTCAATCATCCCTAATAGGTTTTCTCAATCTACCTTCCGCGCATCTTCGGCCACGAGGCTTTCGGGTACTATTTAATTTAATTTATCCGAATCTTACTTGTATGTCGATTAATCCATAGATGATTTGTTTGCTAGAATAATTGAGAGCTTGGGTGAGGGGGTAAAGGGGTTGGAGGTGGGCGATACGGTAGTGCCAACGTTTCTAACAAACTGTGGGGAGTGCAAGGTGTGCGAATCGGAGAATCTGGGCAATTTCTGCACGACTGTGCCGTTCAGTGTGATGCCGGGGATGCCGAGGGATCGCACCCTCCGGTTCACGGATGCGGATGGTCGGCCCGTGAACAACTTTCTGGGTGTCTCCAGTTTCAGCGAGTACACAGTGGTTGATGTGTCTCAGGTGACCAAAGTTGATGGTGGTATTCCCCCGGAGAAAGCTTGTCTTCTCAGTTGTGGAGTGTCTACAGGTAAGCAAGCAGCAACAGTTCTGAATGCCTGCTGTGGGTTTTGTTTTTTTATTGCGATAAGTTTTAAAATTAGTGATCTATATTTTATATATTTAGCTTATAAATTTCAATTTTTAGATATATATCTCATATTATTTTTGCTCGAAAAGTTGTATTTTTGATATTATATGAAAGATTTGAGTGGTTTAAATATAAGAAGCAAAGTTAGATTTTTTATATGCAAAATTTTTAAGGCTTGGGTAGTATATGTGTAAATGACGCTTAATTTTGTTGTATGGGTCTTTAATTTTATGTCATGTGTTATATATATAAATATGAGGGTTTTTAGGTAGCAATTATCCTAAATATTAAATATAATATTTTAATGCTTCAAATTTTAAATATAATATTTTAATTATTTAAAATTTTTAAAACCTTCAAGAATGAGTTTAGAAGCTTGGTTGTAATGAAAAATAGTTATTAAAAATGTTATATTTAAAGTTTTGGTGATTAAAATATTCTATTTAATATTTTAGGTGATTAGTGTGTAAAAATTTCATAAATTTAATTATATTATTATATCTAATATTTTTTTTATTTTTAAATAATTTAGTTGTGTTACTTAATAATTTAATTATGTTGAGAGAAAATATTTTACACTTAGAAATTAATTTTATGTGTGATACAATTGATTTATCTTGATGCAAACGTATTAGAATATTCTAATATTTTTTTGAGTTATTTTAAATTTAATAACTATTCTGATCGCCATGTTTCTTTTATTCTGAGCTAGAATAATCATTTAATTGTTTTTAATTTAATGAATTTACTTTTAATATTATAAAATGAACAATTAAGTTGCGTTGGCAATTGATAAGGATTCAAATCCTTAGTATGAAATTAAGATTGGAACAAATGAAAAAAAAAAGATGAATAAAATATTTACAAGCAATTTGTTTAAATCTATGTTTTAGGAAAGAGTGAATTGGAAGAGGATTTCGTTTAATCGCCATTTGGGTCTTTTGGCCGTTGGATGGCTAAGCGGCCTTAGCCCAGATTGTATAGTAAAGCTACAAGTGCACTTGAGTCAAGGCACCGTGTCAAGTGGACAGTGGGTCTTGAAGACGCACTTTCGGCCATATAAAACCAAGTTTTGGTAACGTGACGTCAGTAAGTTATATAGTTCGGTTTTTAAGCCCGGCGTTACCTGTTCAAATGTTTACTTACTTTTTATATTTTATAATAAGAGCCTACCTGCTGTTGGAGAAAATTCATACTGTAGTCCAGATTGGGTGTTGTGGTAGTTCTATAGTTAGTAGAGGTAAAGAAAGTCCAGATTGGGTATGTGGTAGTTTCATAGTAAGTAGAGAAAGAGAAGGGATGCACCGTTCGTCTGTCACGATAGTGCTGACTAGTTATTCTGTAGAAAATTCGTCTAATAAAACATAATGTTGCCGTAGATTCTTAGATTTCAAACCTCCCTAATATTTAAATCAGTTTTTTTTCTTTTAGAATTCAGTCCACTCCAATAATTGAAAGATTGACTAGATGAGACTTTAAACAGAAAAAGTACCAGCACGAATCTCGAGAAGATTTGGAGGCACAGATAGGATAAGGCTTGTCTAAGAAGGGTCCACTAATAGAAGACTCGTAGGCTCATGTGTCCGATCAATATCAAAATTGATCAAGTCAACCAAGCGGCCCGAACCTAAGCAGTTTGATCAACCACCAAGTAAAGAGAAATCTAGTACATTACCAGCAATGGAACCAACCCAAGGGGAAATGTTAATCTCTCAGATCTTACAATTCTCTTGAAGGTATTTAGCAACCTCCCCGAACGTCATCAATAGTCAGTAGGACGAATCTCAATCATCTCTCGGGGTGGGTTCACTTCGTATAAGAGCGGGTACCTATTGGATTACAGTAATTACTCTCTGCCTGATAACCTAGTATCACCCAGCTAACAAGAGTTTCTTCTCAAGGATTGAGAGTCAGCAGCCAGACTTGTTCAAACAATCGACTCCACTAATCTGAGCAAGTCAACTTTGCCGACCTTTTACTAGTAATGATTCAGTCAGACGAAAACATCCAACATAGCTGATTGGTAGTCTTAGCAGGCCAGACCGACCGACGAGCCTCTCTAGCTTAGTCGACTGATAGCCCTGTCCAAGGGTTCACTAGTCTAACCAACAAAAACTTAGAGCTGCCAGGCTCCGTGCCAACATATGTAAAATACATGTAATAGTTTGTGAAACCGCTATTAAAGCAGAGCTGCATATGTAAATTCACGCATCGTAACCCATTTCTCTATAAATAGGGGATCATTTCATGAATAAAGGATCACACACATCCTCTAAATTACTGTTCATTTTTATTTGTCTCTATCTCTTTATCTCTCTTCTGTCTTACACTCTATTTTTTTGGGCTTAATTCAAGGAAAAATTAGGATCCAACATTCTAAAAGGTTAGATGAGCATGGATCATGTCACAAACAAGAAGAGAGGTAGCACAAGGAAGAAAAACTTAACTCAAAGACACTGCAAACATAGAATGCGCCAAAGAATTTGTGCATCGACAGATCCCAGATCTAAAGGACTACATGTTGGAAGCTCTCAGAGAGGTAGTTGCTCAGGGAAGGAAGCAGAATTCCCGGGAGTAGAACTCACGAGAAGAAGAGCTGGTGACCAACGACTGAAGGGTGATCTAGGGCCCGGAACTGGTTGGAGATTCCCAATACAATGACAATGTTGGGCTAGCACTGAAGAACAAACAATAGTCCGGGCGAACCGAAGCATCTCGACAGTCAGAGAATGCTCTCTCAACAGATTTCTAAAGCTGAGTCCCTGGAGACATTCAAAAGTCCCTGGTCGGAATCCTACAAGGTCAAACTGATTTGATCGGCCATATAGCATCCTTCAAGTGGACCACCTGCCTGCTTAAGATCACAGGTGTGATGAAGTGTTGTTGGTCTTCATCACATTGAGGGATTTGGCCCTCAAGTGGTTAAACAGACTAAGAATCATAGTAATCACATTCTTAACTGATTTTAAAAGGTTGTTTGTGCCACAATTTGTCAGCGGCCAAAAACCACATTAGAGTTTACAAGTCTTCTTGCAAATCAGGCATGGGCAAAGCGAGAGCCTCCACTCGTTTGTCACTCAATTTCAAAATGAAATGCTGGAGAAGGAAGATTTGGAACATGCAATAGCACACTCGGCTCTTGCCCAACGGCTGAAGAAGTGGCCTTTACGCTATGCACTGGGTCTTCAGCGACCAAAGACCTTAGCCAAATTGTTGGAGCTGGCAAACAACCATATCTTGGTCGAGGAGTACAATTCCATCCTTGCTTCTATTTGAGAGGAGTTAATCACCCGTCGTCTGCAGAAGAGGGCTCGAAGGGACAACAGATGGAAACCGAAGGAAGGTACATCTATGATTCTGTTGTGATCAAAGACAAGCGATCACCTCAAGATAACAGGGAGCCAACAAGATCTACATCTATTGTGGTCAAGCTCTATACCCTTAAAATTAGCTATTTCATCCCAATGATTAACTGTTAAACGATCCAAAAAGCTTCAAAGGTGACTCCACTGAGTGTCTCAATGGTCGAGCTAGTTGAGGTCATCCAGAATAAGGGGTATTTCACTGTCAATGAGAGTTGGAGTTTTTCTTCGAGATACCAAGAAGTACTTTGCATATCACAGAGATCATGGCCACTACACGGAGGTATGTCTAGACCTTTGGAGCCTAGTTGAGGAGTTGATCAAAGCTAGGAAACTCAAGGAGTTTGTAGCACCAGGAGCGATGACCCAGAGACAAGGAAAACTCCATTTGAAGAAACTTTAGATGAATCAGTTGAGTAAATACCATTCATATTGTTCAGATACTACCAGCCATTTTAAGAGGAGGTGAAATTCATCCCTGCGAGCCAGCCAGAAGAAGTTCTGGTCGGGAGAATTGTGCGTTGCTACTTTTGCCCCGAAGCGCAGCACTCACCCATCGATCATATTCTTTGACACAAATCTACCCCCCTAGGGAACCTTTACAATGATGTTATTGTCGTCACTGCTATGATAAGTAACTACCAAATCGGAATATAACGGATTCAAGTACTATACCGTAGTGCAAGGTAAGACATCGATGAAGAGGTGATTAATCTGTACGGATGTAAAGGAGTTGATCATAGCTAGGAAACTCAAGGAGTTTGTATGCCAGGAGCGACGAACCAGAGACAAGGAAAAACTCCATTTTGAAGAAATTTGAGATGAACCAATCCGAGTATATACCATTGATTTTGTTCAGATAGTACTAGCCATTTTAAGAGGAGGTGAAATTCATCTCTGGGAGCCGGTCAGAAGAAGCTTCGGTGGGGAGAAATGTGCGTTGCTACTTTCGCCTCGAAGAGCAGCACTCACCCGCCGATCACATTCTCCGACACAAATCTGCCCCCCAGGGGAACCTTACAATGATGTTATCGCCATCACTGCTATGATAAGTTAACTACCAAATCGGTATATAATGGATTCAAGTACTATACCGTAGTGCAATGTAAGACATCGATGAAGAGATGATGATTCTGCACGGATGTTGAGACTACTTTTACTTTTTGAACCGAGGCTAATGCATCCAAAAAAGATGAGTTCCTCAAGATAAATTATCCAAAAAGAATTGGTTCATACTAGACCATAGTTTATCAATGACAACATGACATGACCAATATTATGGCGAATCTACAAAAAGTTTTTTGGTGTTTTAGAGCGTAAGGATCTTGGAGCTTATGTGGTAAATAAGACTCCAATTTTATTCATCTAAGCTCTTAACAATAAAAAATTTCATCTTCCTTAAGGGTTATGCGAAGAATCTAAAATTGAGTAGATTATTGAAAAGATAAACTTCTCATCTAGCCAAATTGCAACCCTTTTAGATCGTACGCTCAAGGAGAGTTTAAAACAGCTTTCTCTTAAATATATGTTGACGATATGCATATTTTAAGAATTCTTTCAACATACGGTGCATCAGAAATAAAAAAAATTTATAGTTAGTTTCTGTTTTTCATACAATCGAAGCATGGCACTAAGAACATCTGTTATTGAGCTTATAGGCTGAATGCTCTCCTATATCCTGTTTGAGTGCATAATTTATTACTTATTTTGTTGACTAGTATGACGTAGCTTTTCATTAATTATGATTTTCCTTAGAATGTTAAAATTTTGATTATGTTTACAACGCAGGAGTTGGAGCTGTTCGAAAGGTAGCTGCTGTGGAGGCAGGATCCTCTGTGGTCATATTTGGGTTAGGTGCAGTGGGATTTGCGGTAATTGTGAATTAAAGTTTATAATTTTTATTTTTGCCCATAATTATTGCTGACTGATGAAACCTTTTAATTTTAATTTAATTTTATATTTCTATAAAAATTTGTGGGTATACTACACTCATCTCAAAGTAAATTGCAAAGCTTTAACTGCCAATCAAGAAGGACGGAAATCAGACAGTTAAATTAGGAGTTTTCTATAATTAGAAGCTTACTTATTTAAATTATTTACAATATCTTTATTTTTATTTATTTCCCTTTTAGCTGAATATTTAGATTATGAATATGTATTATTAAGTTATCAAAAATAGATTATAGATAATATTTTGTACCTAAAATAATTTGTAAGATTATTATTTAATGAAATGAAAGCAAAGGAAAATAGTCGTCGAGCCAATTCAGAATTCAGTGTCATCCCTTTTTTTTTTTTTTTTTTTTTTTTTAACAAACATTGAGATAATTAAATTATTGTAAGAGACAAATTCATTAAAAGTGAAGACTGACGAATTTAAGCCATGTTACAGTAAATGAACTAAATAATCTAATTCAAATAACAACAAAAGAAATAGGAGGTCCATAAACTTCCTCACATTTATAAACTATCACGGCACTGATTCTCAACAAAACTTCCAGTGATTGTTGCAGTTTACGCAAGTCACAAAAGTTGTCGTTGGTTCATCAGCACTTTTAGTCTGCAACTGATAATAAGTGCATTTTCTCTGTCCACATCGACCGCATCGAAACTGATCGGTTGTAGCTTTCGGAGGCCCTCCTCTTTCAGAATTAAATAAAGCCTTCTCTTGGACTGCTTATTCGATGTTTTTCTCTCGTCGCTAGTCTGCTCTTCTGCTGTCATGGTGATGAACCTCTCAGGGACGAAGATCCGTGTTCTTAGAATCCTTCAGATTGAACATTATTGATCTATATTTAACTTTTTGTGCACCATTCGACCGTCCTAGCTTTTCGAACATCGCCGACTCTACAGTAACTGCAACACGAATTGGATCACATATGTTTATTTCATCAACCACGTCTCTCACTTCATCCCTCAAATCCTCACTTGCCTCCTCTGAAACCTTTACGAAAGCCTCTGCAAGGAGTTCCCTGAGTTTGTCTCTCACAGGATCGTTACATTTTACCATTGCAGTGAGCTTTGGAGGTCCAGTGGGAATGGAAGGGTTTTTGGAAAATGATGTCTGTTTCTCTTCCTTAGAGAACCTTTCCACTTTGATAGTCTCTATTTTATTGCATCTTTCATAAGACAAACTGGCTGATTCATCTTTCATGGTTTTCTCAATTTTGATGGCATCTGATCGAGAAATTTTCTCAGAAACCGAGCATCTGTCTGAAGAGAAATTTTCGAGCTTCAGGCTTTCGGATTTTGAATGCATGTTAATCTTAGATGAACCAGATTTTGAAATTTTTTCGATTTTGGCAGCATCGGATCTCTCGGACTTGGTTTCAGTTTTTGTGAGGGTTATTTCGTTGAACTGCTACTTTTCTTGCCATCTTTACTTGTCTCCTCAATAACAACATTCTTCTAGAATTTGAACAGATCAGTAGCAACCATTTGAATCCTAGACTTGGGATGTTTGTGAGGCTGCTAATCCGTTTGCCAACCTGCTTGTTCACCAGATCCTTTGTGGGGACATCCATCCTCCTCAGCCATCTATCTTACCAAGGATGAGCTTAACTTTTTCAATTAATTGCACATTCTTAGAAATGGCATGCTTTTTTTTGTAGGTTGCTGAAGGAGCAAGGTTCCATGGAGCCTCCAAAATAATTGGGGTAGATATTAACCCTGAAAAGTTTGAGATTGGTAAGCCATTTTCACATTTTTTATGACTATTTGATTTTTTGTTAAAATGTTATATGGAAAATAAAATTAAAACTGCTATATGGAAAATAAAATTGAAGTTACATTAAGAGAATCTATTATTCATCTCTTGCAATTGTATATCTAAAGTGATTATGAAAATATCAACTTTATAATGGTGTTACATTATAATAATAATATTTTTATGTTGAGTGTGTCATTGACATCTAGAATATGGATCATTTATATTTAAAGTATTTATCTCATTTTTTACAAAAAATAATTTCAACCTCTGAAATAAAGAATAGCACTATGTTTCTTTTATTTTTTTATTTTATTTTTTGAATATGTTATTTTATTGTTGACACAAAATGCATCGCATTTAAAATGTGTCGAATGTTATGAATACCACGATTGTAATAAGAGAAAATATCACAATTTTTTTTCTTAGACTTGATGCACTTGTATCTTTAATGTAAACTACATCAAAGAACCACTCATTAACAAATTCTTCTTGAATATTTAATGTCTATGAAATTGTTTACATAAAAAAAATATGTTGTATAGGAGCTTTAAAACATCATAAATAGCTCAAGTTATCTTTATAAAGATCGAGTTGAACAAGGAGAATAAATCAGCAAACCAATATGTCTCACTTTAGTTTATGAGGAACAAAAATTTTAGTGCATTATATGATAATAAAGAATTTCCCACCACTGCTGGATGGCCGTTGGTTATCAAATTAACTCTGGATAGAAATAATGAATTACTAAGGAATAATAACTGCCAAAGATATCAAATATCTAGCATAAGGGATTATGCGGACCTCATCTACCTTTTTTCTTGTGACTTTTACTTTTTTTTTTATATGTCGTTTTAGTTCTTGATTGCAGTTTGTAATCTAAAGCAAAGCTTTTCAGAACTCCCATTTTACTATGCTTTTTTATGACTTTATCATTGCAATAAAAATTTGTTACGTTCTTCCTGCAGGAAAAAAGATTGGGCTCACTCATTTTGTTAACCCAAAAGATACAGGGGAAAAATCGACGGTTGAGGTCTGGTCACTTCTTTTCAGGAATTTGTTCCGTCTCACTTTTTCTCCCTAAGTTTCTCTTTTCAATAATCTGTTGGTCAATTGAAATATTATCCATTAATTTGAGCTTACATGATTTTGTTTTCTTTCCCGTATATTCGCAACGTCCTATCACAGCCTTGATAGTTTTTCTAACATTTTTTTGCTTTCATATTTAGATAATCAAGGAGATAACTGATGGAGGTGCTGATTACTGCTTTGAGTGCATTGGTTTGGCACCGTTGATGAGTGATGCTTTCAATAGCTCCCGTGTGGTCTCTCTCTCTCTCTCTCTCTCTTCTTTCAGTATCTGTGAATTGTCCTCTGTAATCTTACGGATATGGGAAAGGAGTTTGAAGTTCAAGTTGGAACTTAAATAATTCTTAGCTTAGAAATAATCCAGAAAATTTTATAAAATAAGAACAAAAACAGAGGTTACATTTGTTTTCCCTTTAAATTATTTTTTTTAAATATGATTCTAATTCCCTTAATTATAACTTATATTGTTTCTTTCCACTGTATGCAGGGTTCTGGTAAAACTATCATTCTTGGAGTGGAAATACATGGAAACCCAATAACGATAGATTCAGCTGAAATCTTGTGTGGGAAATGTATTATAGGTTCAATGTTTGGTGGAATCAAAGGGAAGATTGACATCCCAGTCCTAGCAAAACAGTACCTAAACAAGGTATTTTTATTGGCTATTTTCACTCATTAAAGAAACTAGAATGCCTGCATCAAGAAAAAAAAAACAAAAGAAAAAATAGGACTCAATGAGGTTGTACAAGCAATCTATTGAATCCTAAGATTATTTGTTGAGGCAGTTTTACATGCATAGCACTCAAAATTTTATAAATTACATATTTAGCGCTTAAACTTGAATATTTACTCATACAACACACAAAACTTTAACATGCGTAAAAAATAACATAAATACTCTCTCTTTTCATTATCCTTCATGTTGCCGGTTTCATGAACTTTTACTAGTAAGATCCTTTCACTTTCACATTGTGTCGATCACTTCCAGCTCCACACACGCGTCATATATATATATATATATATATATATATATATATATATATATATGCATCGCGTACTCAGATCTGTTGGTCGAGCATCTGCTTGTCAGTTGTAAGTCCCCTCTGGTCTGGGATTCAATTACCCCCAAGTGTAGAGTATGGTACTTGAATTCTTAGACGCATGAGGGATGACCGGAGCTCGTATAATAGCCTCCGGCCATTTCTTTTTAATATATATATATATATATATATATATGAATTAAATAGCAATGATAATTTTAATGTTAATATCACAAATTCACCACATCATCTCATCATCATTTTTACCTTCTCATGTGCATTGGTATAAATTGTTTGTTTCAAAACTCCCTAAACTTCATGTTTAGCTTGATGAGAAAAATATGCGTGCATTCTTCACAGTCCACGGGGGTAACTCATAATGCAGTGGTTAAGTCCTATATGTCTTTTTCTTGACATGGTAAAGAAATTATAGATATTATAGATTTTTCTTGCACATACCCAATGCAAGTCTTTTTTGGTCAGTTGGAACTCAAAAGCTACATCCCCAATGTCTTATTACACTGATAATAAAATCTTTCTTTATGTTGTGGGCAGACACAAAGTTCATCTAAATACTCCCTACATAGGATAGACGTCAGGAAGCTAGCAAAATTTGAACTGAAAAAGACTCCAACAAACAAAATAAAACGACTTATAAACATTAATGCAATGTGAAAACGAACTTGATTTAAATATTGTTATTTTGACCCCCAATTAATGAACTAAGGTAACAGGGAAATTTTGTAATGTGGCACCGCCACCTACCACATCTCACCTACCGCTCACCTACCGGCCACCTACCA